AAATGGGCTTTCTACATCTACAATATTTAAATTTTCCTTTAGCCTTCTCAACACAAAACTATTGATTTTTTGACACTCTCTGTAATTCATTTGGGAAAGGTTCATGTCACTAAAAGGATAAACCTTTACTATACCAACCGATTATTGACAAACACAGACGCTACACCAGTGACTTAGGACTTTTTGCGAGAATTATAAATGCTTTTAATGCTGCCCTTCACATTGTTTATAATAGTGCTACAGAAAACAGACCTACTGTATAAGTATTAGCAGAATAATTAATGGACAATTTGTGTGGTCTTAACCAATTGTGCGGTCAGTTTCTTGAGTTTATTCTTCTCATCTGAAGCTAATATATGAGTGGTAGGGATCCTGTGGAGTTAATTAACAAGAACAAATACAGTAAAACCACAGTGAAATTTATTACATTGTATTTAATGCAGTTCAAAGTAGGTGCTCTAAAACACAAGAGGAAAATATATGCATCTTCCATCTAGTCCTAGCTGTCAAAGAGTAAAAATAGTGCTATACAATTTTTTCCATTAAGCACACATTCAGCCAAATGGGTGAAGATAAACAGTTGTATTGGAGAAGAAATAAAGTTCAGAAGAGAGATTTAAAAACAACTGTGGTTAAATGTTCTGTGATAGATTATAGACATGGCAGAAATGTCACCCAGTGAAAAGGATGACCAGTCTAAGTGGGTCTGCTGTGACGTGCCTTGGATATTATGACTCTACATCATCCCCGTATTAGTTCTAACTTAAAAGCAGAGTAAAATAATTAAAAACATAAAATCAAAATCTGGGTGAAAACGTTCAGTAGCTGTATATTATTAAATACCATTTCGATGCCTTAGAATGAAGCAGAGCCAGCAGGTTAGATTTCCTGTCATGATTTTGTTCATTTTACTGTTCACTATAGAAAATAAGGTGAAGATTGACGTCGTTAATAATTTCATGACATCTTCAAAAGGAGGATGTTCTATGATCTACTTTGTCAAGATTGCAATGTCTGTGATAATGGTTCTGAAAAAATTATACATTTCTACATAAAACCAAAACAAAGTGCAGCTTCCACCTAGTAGAGAGCTAGCTGCCTGTTTACTACCTGTGCAGTTTTAAAATGACATGACGTCACTGCCTCCTTACAAATTCTACATAATGCATTGTGCCTGTAACCCACTTGCAACGACAATGGTAGCTCACAAACTTAGCACCCAAGTTTAAAAAGATGGGTGCCCTGATTTGCTTAGAAATCATCAATTAATTTTCAATTTTTGTGTACAGGTAAGGCTGAATTGCCCTACTCTTTCACGACAATGAAAAAGGTTAGCTGTAATATTCTTGCATTTCCCTGTAGAGAACAATAATTGTGATTGAAACCATGTCAGGAAGAACTCAACAAAAGCTTCATGGAACCTTTCGATTGCCTTTGCTTGCCCAGCAGTCATTTCCTGGGCTGAGTTATAAGTCCCGTGCAGAGGTGAACACATAGCTGAGAAGTCGTTTCATTTATTTCACTTTGAATGGGGAGCAGGGTGTTCCCACAACAGACATTAATGAATCTTATAAGCACTAGATGGCCAGTCTGTCCAGGCAAAGACAACAAACAAACAAAATCAGATAACAGCAACGCGAAGGTATTAGCGTTTCTTCTGATTTCTATGAACCAGGATGTTATGTCTCTTAGCTTCGAAAATCTGTTCAAGCATTTATAGGTATTTTATTTGATTCTGCTTATAATTTGTTCAGTGTCACAGTGACTTTTAGTATAACATACTGTCAAAAATAAATGAAATAATCTAGTTGCCAATATTCTTAAATGAAGTATACGGTAGCCTATGTGGTCATGTTCCAGGGAGAATGTATTTTTCAGTATTCCTTGACTTCTACTAGTTTAAAACAAAACACTTATAAAATAAGCCACACACAGGAACGGAACTCACAATTGGAACATTTAAATGCTTATTTGCTTCTCTTTCTATTAGCTTGTAAAATGTTATTTTCTTATTCTTTCTTAAATAGTCTGTGCTAATTACAAACCATGACCCTTACCCTCCAAGTGCCTTCATTTATGGCCATGCATTCCTTTCCTGGGCAACACATTGGCTGAGTTTATAAGATACAGCTACCAGGCCCACCAGTCCTGACTTTTGCTCCCTCTAGGTCATAAGTCTAACTCACAACATACAACTCAAAAGAATTCATCATTTTAGTAGAAGCAGGTCCCTTGTTGGAAACCCAAGGGCTGATACCCTGTAATATAGCATATATTTCCTGGTAGAATATCATAGATAGTGATTCAGAAATGTGTTTGTTATTGTTTCCTTTCCCAAGGGAGAGGAAGATAGAAAGTTTAGCATTTTATAAGTCTATAAGTAGGTTATACACAGTAGACTCATTCTGGACTTCTTACACAAATGACTTGAGCATGCTTCTGCATTCTTCAAGTTAGAATACCATGCAAAGTTTTGTACTTCTAATTTGAGTTTAGTGGGATTCTAAGCTGGTGACAAAATTAGGAGGTGGAGGAGAAGTACCATGTTAACCTTCCAGTATCTGAGTGAAAGGTCTTTCTCCTAGCATTAATTTTTGGGGAGCTAATGAGAGTTTAAAGTCTACTATTTCTCATGAATTTTTTATAAAATATTTAACACGAATCTTGGCTTACAGTATCTTTATTATTATTTTTAAAGATATATGTGTCTGTATGTGCCCTCCACATGTGTGCAGGTGCCCACTGAGGCATCAGAACCTTTGGAGCTAGAGTTACCAACAGCTGTGGGTTTTCCAGTGTGGATGTTGATGACCATACTTGGGTTCCCTGGACGAGAAGTGGATTCTCTTACTTCAGAGCCATTCTTTCAGCCCCAATAGTAAGTGGCATCAATATTTGAAGGGAACAAAACAAACTGACGTGGTAAACAAAGCACATCACATTAAAGCAAAACTGTATCTTGAGTCATTCAAGAACAGACTCAATACTTTTCTGCCCAGGGGCATGCGATTTTAATCATCATCAATTATATTTCTGAGGAATTTATCTCAAGGATTTATTTCAGATGGGGCATTTTTAGAAATGTGAACTATTTAGTATAGTCTATCAGATCCTTTGTACATTTTTAGTAGCCAGGAAAAAAATAAAAATGGACAAAAATAGAATTCTTCTCAATTGTTAAATGGAAGTAACAATTATACAGTTCATGAGACATTGAGGAAGAAATATCTAGATAACGGGAAAGATGTGTGTTTGGTGTACAGTCTTGTTTCCACCTATAATGGTCATGTAAACCTTCTGATATCTGTCTTTTTAATAAAGTTTTTTATCACTATCAATATCTTTACTGAAAAATCATGATTCTGGAACATTCTTAAGTTTATAACATCAAAATATTTTACATAAAAATAACATGGTTAGTATAAAATTGATTTCATTTAAATGTGTGAAGCCAAAATATGTGGAAGTGACAGATAAGCCTATATCATTCATTTATAAAATAACCACTGGGTTACTTCATTAAATAGTAATATGACATAGACTATATCATATGATATGTAAATATATGTAAGTAAAAATTTTAGGATATTGATTTGCACATAGATCTTCTGTGGCAGCATTGTATAGACTGCCATTTTCTCCACATGTAGCATTCTAATGTGCAGGGCCTCCTTTCGTGTGCAAAATCATCTTTGCTTGTCTTATCCCAGAGGAGAGAACCCTGAGGATGACGTTAAAACCCTGGGATGCTATTCTCATGAAGACGTGGGGCCTTCTGCTAACCCATGCACTAGTAAGCTGTGAGGACTCTAAGAGAAGGGGTCATTTACTTGCCCCGTTGTCAGCGCATCTGGAGGCCTTGTCAAAACAATATAATTTTACTCTGTAACTTTTTGACATTGGTATTTATTGCACCTGTCTTTGGGGATGATTTATGACCTGTCTGGTGAATATTTCTCCTGAAGTTGGAGTTTACAATAAGATAAGTGAAGCATTTAAATGTCTGTGTATGTTTCGGCACGGGAACTGGATATTTTGCACCCACGGCTCACATCATTCCGTTCTCCCAACCCCATGGTCTCACCAGGTTGACCACTGCGGTAGAACACTGAGTTCTCCCGAGAAAGAGAAAGAGCAAGAGAGAGAAAATGTAAAGCTACATTTGCCACAGTCCCCCTTGCTTAAAGACTGTGTCGGTAATTTCTAAGGAGGAATGAGGAAAACCACCACAGGGGCACATCCAGAGAAAACATGTTTGTTATGAGGAGAAACCAATGACCTTCTGTCTCTGCAACGGTACCCTGGCTGGAACCCACCACTATAGTGTTTCTGTACACACAAACTAGGGACAACCTTGCCCATCTTGGTAAATCATACTTCCAATTGAGCTGTGGTCCTCCCTTTCTTGGTCTGTGTATTCATCTGCATATTGTTTCAAAATTCTCCTAAAAATTTTAAAAATCTAATGTTATGTGTATGAATGTTTGTTTGCATGTAAGCATGTCTGGAGCTTAGAGGGGCTAGAAGTGACCGCTGGATTTCCTGGGGCTGGGCTTTCGGGTACTTGTCATTCCCTTAGTGTGGACAGTGGTAATAGGACTCGGGTCTTGTGGAACAGCAGGAGGCACTCCTAACTACTGAACCATCACTCCAGCCCCATTCTCAATACTTTTTCATTTGCTGTTATTTTACCCAGAAGATGGGTGTTATCTCTTTAAACAATACCCTTGCAACTGTCCAATTCTTTCATATGGATGACAAAAAATATTATTTCCTCCAAGAACACATAGCCATTTGGTTGCTTCATTATACTGTTGCATCATGGTTGATTTTGGTGTAAGATTTTATATGTAAGCCTAGTTCAATCAAACAGTGACTCTGCAGCTTGCCATGTTCATCAATTTAAATATTCTTTAAAATTTAACTATAGAAGACCCCAAACTTAAATGAACTAACTTTATTCACTCAATATGACTTGGAAATTGAGACCTCTTACTCACATAGCTGTATGTAGACTCTTCGAGCAATTTTCTAAGCAGGGGCAATCCACTCTAAGAGGAAAGGATATAGATTGTTGTTTCTTCCACTAACTTTTGAAAGTTTCAGCATATTTGTTTATTCATTTAGTTTTTAATTGTGTGTTTGCACATGCATGCGTGTTTGTGTGCCCTGGTATGGTTCACTGGCAGAACTTCCCATGTGCTTGAGAAGAGGGGCTAGATACTAACTAAAACTTTCTTAGCTTATCATACCTTTTAGGTAGGATCTTTTCATGGAAGCGTCACTCACAACTAAACCTAGTCATTTTCCTGCCTCAAGCCCCAACTCTGCATTTACAACATTTGCAGCCACAGCCACATCTTTTTATGTGGAGATCTGAACTCAGGTTCTCATGATTGTATGGTGAGAACTTAATTCACTGAACCACTTCCTTATCTGCTAGAGCATCAGTTGCATTAGCAGCCTTTTCTGCAGTGAGGTATCCTGAAGTCCCTCCCGTCATGTCACTTTACCATCCATCTTTCCTACAACCCCTCAAATTTCCTGACGTTCTATCTCAGACATGATAATATAATCCTTCAATTGCTTTGATTGTGCTTCTTTGCACTTCTGCATATTGACTTGCTGCATGGATGTTGATGATGAGACAACACTTCCCATGACAAAGGTCAACCCTTCCAAGTTTCAGTATAGGTGTTTATTCCACATTTCCTACATAATATGGTAGGGTCTATCAGTATACCTTAGAGTTGTTATTTGTCTATTTATGTGAAAAGTTTAATTCCACTTGACTCCCCAGATCCTTTCAGAACCCTCAACGTGAACAACTCCTAACCTCCTTCTTCTGGTGTAATTCCTCTTTCATTTTATGTCTATCTAACCTTCCACGGCATTTTCTTTTTCCAAAGACCGGGAACTTGTTGCTTGGAAAAGTCACATGACATAGGAATACACTTGTCAACTACGATGCGTAAATCGTTGCTATGGAGGCTGTGCTGGTCATTCCACAGCTGGCTCTTACCCTTTCTCGTTAGGCCACCTCCATTCCAGAAGACATGAGAAGTCCTTCATGGAATGAGACAATTTCCTTATTAAGACAGCTCATCCTTAACACGCTAGACTCTGCCCATGTGTTGCCAAGCCTTGACATCAGCCATGGCAGGACATTAAATTGAGATTAGAAATGGCCCCAATGACATCACCCCTCTTGTTCCTATCAAACAGATGGTTTCTGTATACTGTGCAATTTTACATCATTATTCATGGTTTGGGTCGGAATAATCCAGAGAGCCAGAAGCCTGTCAAGAGTAATTGAGCTGGATCCAGTTCAAAGAACGGGAATTATTTTATTGATTAAAAGTCTGAGCTTTTGTTTTCCAGAAGAGCACCATGAACCATCAGTACATGATAATTCTTGTGTCATTTTAGCATGTGTGTTTTTGTCTAGAACTTCAAAACACAGTCTCAGAAGGGTCAGCTTTAAAAGAAGCATTACAGTAAGATAGCTCGGAAACTTTGTTGGGTACCACTGATCTTGGCCCAGAACTATTGACTGAGGCAAGTGGTTTGTTCGAATTGGATGGTTATTTATTTTCACCTTATACTTGTTGATTTAATATCCTTCCTTTAGCTAAGCTCACAGACAGTTAAGAGGTATGTGTTAGACAATCCAGACAGGAAGTTATTTTGAGAGACTTGGTCCAGGAATTAGACAAAACAGATTTGGCTGGCTGAGAACTTAGAGAATAAAACCACACCCCAAACAAAATAAAGCTAATAAAATGTTAAATGTGTTCAGAAAAACTTTACAGGAGATAATAATCTTCCATACTCTTTCTCTAAGGCACATACACTGTCAACTTCTTGGTAAACGCTAATCCTTACATAAAGAAAATTAGGTCTTTGGATAGTTCTTTGAGGGCTTTTCCTTCCTTCTGGCCTAGAGTTCTAACAATATTCTCCCTTATGATATGAGTTTGTCTTTAAAAATTGTTCACACTTTCAACAAGCTGAATTAATAGACACTTCATATTAGTTACTTTTGCCACCGCTATGACAAAATTCCTAGTTGAAACAACTTAACTGGGGCAATGTATTTTTTTTTTTTACTAACAGTTATATTGTGTTAAATCCATGGATTCTTGGCCCTCTGAGGACTGCAGGAGACTATGGAAACATATCTTGGTAGACAGAAAGACGAGAAAAGAGGATGCAGGAAGATAGACCTTAATGTCGTGTCTCCAAGGACCTCCTTCTTTCAACTAGATCTACCTGCAAATAAGGCCATCATACCAAGAATCCATCCAGGTATTAATGCATGCATTGCCTCCAACCCTTCAGAAATTGTCCTTGGAAATACCATCCAAGAAACACCTAAAAGTATACTTCAGAAAAACTTTGGGCTTTTCAAAAAATTGAATGCAGTTGATAATCTATATCATCATCCATCAACCATGCTAAAATGAATGATCTCGATATCACAAGTAATGTAGGTTTGTTCAGTTTGGCTACAGATGGGGAGATAACTTAGTTGGTTAAACACTTGCCTTGAAAATACGAGGACCTGATTTGGGTGTAATAAAGGTTGGGCATACTGTACTTAATTTTAATACCAACACTAGGGAGGTGGAGACAGGTAGATCTCTAGGCTCATTGGTCAGCCAGCGTAGCCTACTTGGAAAGTTCCACACCAGTGAAAGATATTGTCTCAAATAAGGTACAGGCTTCCAGATGGTTCAAGAACTGACAGTACTGTGATCTACATGATGAAGACTCCTGTATGTTATTCTCTGAACTATACACATGTGCAGAACCCCCACACACATATACACATACGCACACACAGACACACACAGACACACCACTAAAAGAGAAGTTGTTGAAATATATGGACATGAAATAATTAATCGTCTTTGTTTAAATAAAATTTTTTTACTACTGAGTATAATAGATGGGTTCTCACACTGCCATGAAATTTATTCCACATAGATATACACTTCAATGTTTATCTAACTATAACTGACTAACAAAATCTTATCTTCCACATTAACTTTTGGCATAAGCCTTGATATTTTCTACTTTGATCTACTAATTGCCTAATAAACATTTGTGGAAAGAGTGTTATCTAGGGATTTCCCAGTTGTAGGACACCTCTGTTGTTATTCTGTTTGAACATGTGTATATATGACAATTGGCGTGCCACCTGTCATACCATATCTCTGCTCTAGGCTTCTCTCTGAAAATTGGGAGAGAAAAAAAAAACCCTAAATTCTTTCTATCTTATTTCACTATGGGTCCCATTTCTGGGTCTCATTATACAGAACATACAATGGTTACAGGAGCCACTGAATAAGAACAGAAGTTCTTACCGTGGTAGTGAGAATGCATCTCAAACACTGACTTGAAGGAAGCGTCTATCAGATGAGATCAGGTTCAAACATATTCAGTTATCTATGCAACGTGACACATCAGCTTGCTTGACTGCTGCTATTCTCTGTCTGTGCTATGAAGAACATTCTTGTGTGAAATAAACACACCATTTACCATCTTCATAGCCCATCATCCACACAGCTGTTCTCCAGACCCACCATCGCCCCCTCACAGAAACCTATAGTCAGAACAACATGACAGGGAATGGACTCTAGTTCCAGAACAAAGTCAGCCCTGAAAGAAACAATACTTTATAATGAAGGAGCCGACTGTGTAGTGGAAAAGTTGTAGGGATTCAAACATTTTTTTGGAAGCGCTCTTTTCATAAACATTGGTCTAGTTCCGAAGGGATCTATGCTTGTGCATATAATGCCGTTTGATCTAGTTCCTGGTTGTGACATACAGATGTTGTCTGCGTGTACCTCTTCACTTAGTGTTATGTTCCTGGGCATTTCAAGTGGTATAGGTGGTATAGAAGTGGTAATAGAAAACAATGTGCTTCCTGGGATGTTCCATTGGTCTCTCTGAACAGTGAGACCTTCCATGTTTGCAACAGTCCTTCCTGTATATTCCTGATGCGTATGACTGCACAAGGAGTAGAAGGACTGTATTGCGCCTTGGGGATGGTATCTTTACCATCAGCTCTTGACCATTTGTGAACCTTTGCAACTCACTACACACTAGTTTCCTGTCTACATCTCACATGGCATGCTATGGGCACCACACAGACAGTGACTGGAGACAAAATGACTAGGACTGTGGAGGTGCAGAGGAGGGGAATACCAGTGATGGCTGTTTATTGGGTCTGATGCAGACCCAGGGGAGAAAAGATGGAGACCTCAAACAGCTTTGTCTGTTAATGATTTCTTCAAAATCCCTAGTGGGATATGTTAGGAGTTGAAGGGATATAGCTGTGTCCCAAGCCATATGCACTCAGAGCACTGACCTAGAAGTCTGTCTATGTCCTCGTCACTATTAACCACCACATTTTCAAACTTAAACATAACGAAAGCTAAATGGACAGTGGTTTATGTCACATATCCTGGAGCTCACTGAATAAATAAATATAACCTGTAATACTTTCCTTTCAGGAGTCAAAGAATGTCCCTTGTATTTGAAGGCAGCCCTGTGAACAGTCACTTCTTCAGGATATTTGAGTACTCATTTGAATGGTCGGAACTGACAAGCATTGCATTACAGGGGAATTTTCTCAAAGACAGTTTGCATTTTCTTCTGCTACCAGCTCGGGCCGGTTATAAAGACACCACGAAGAAAAATGAAACAAAGCAAAAAAAATGCATAAAAAACGCACTGCGTGTTTTCTCCTTCATGTCTACGAGTGCAGCTAAAGCTAGCCAGGTGGGGAAGACCGCCTCCAGGAGCCCTGACAGAATCAAGGGATCGTGAGTCCTGCCAGACTTTTCCCTTTTCCTCCCAGATGGTGTGGTCTGCGACTTTCTCATTTAACGGACAAACAAGGAAGCCTGCCAGCTGAGCGGTGGACCACACTAAAAAAACAAACAAACAAAAGGAATCAAGGCTTCAGACCTGGAGGCCAATGACAGGTATGATTGATCAGGTGACCAGCTGGAAGCTGTCACCACCAGGTTGAGAGAAACAGGCCGGGTTTGGTTGTTTCATGGGCCAGAGATTATCATGGGGTATTAGGTAGGGAGTGTTCTTCGGCAAACAAAGAAATTGGAAAGATGGTGTTCACTTTGCCTGGCCCACACGTCTAATACCACACTTACCATATGCTTCACCTGGTGTAAGGGATGTCTGAAGCTAAACCTGCTGGATTTCCTCTGAGAAAATATTTTGGGACAAAATTATCCTGCACATGTATGCCGCTTACTATATATATCTTAAGACAGAAAGAACATACTTTCCTTGCTACAACAAATGTAAATACAAGGATATTATAATTTTATCAGTGCATGATTCACTGAGCAGCATGCAGGCCCCAGAGCATACGCTTTGATGATGACATAATTGTATTGTGATTTAAATGGAGAAAACAGAAGCCTACTAACTCGATCAGGCTGTTTTTAGCAACAGCTCAAGTAATACTGTGCTTAATTGAGTTTTCAGACCTCTAGATTTACCATGAGGCTTGCAGAGAGCTTTTTGAAGAAGATATACCTAAATAATAACAATAAATAATCACACCAACTTTGAGGTTTTCTCATTATTAAGAAAAAATGAAGTGTAGATAAAAAAGTGCACTTCGAAATTAAGACAAGACGTACACACACCATTTTTAATTGATGTTTTAAAATTTATTATTTGTTTATTTATTTTGCATCCAGATCACAGCCTCCCCTCCCTGTTACTCTTTCCCCTACCTCCCTTCTACCCCCCAATCCATTCCTCCTCTGGATTCGCTCAGAAAATATCACACCTCCCATGGGAATCAACAAAGCAGGGCATATTAAGCTGCCACAAGACCAAGCACTCCCCTC